CGTTCTGAGATTTCCAGCATCTGCCTGAGTACAAAAAGTCAGAATAAATATATCACCCATTCCTCTAAGTGGATGTACTGTAACTAATACGGAGTCAGCCTGGGCTTGGAGCCTCCAGATGTGTCTAAGATGTCCGGGATGAATAGAATTGTAATGCTGATCACAGACTGGTTGGCAAAGGTGCATAACTGTTTATATGAAGACAAAGATCTTTTGTGTCAGCAGGAAATGCCTCAGAAAGGGAAACAAGGGAACATTTTGCCCAGAATGCCAATTTTATTTCAAATTAATCCAAGAATACAAAGGGATGAACATATAAAAACAGAGCCATATAGTCATCCCTGTGTAAGAAATGATATCCTTATGTTGTAGCAAAAACAAAATAACCCATACTCCCACACTGATTGTTTCCCTATGCCGCTGTGCGTAATCTTCTCTTTTTATTGAGTGTAAGGAAATTTTATCCCATGGAAAGCTGGAAGCATGTTTGGATTTCTAAAAAAGGAGATGTCTGTATCCAATTCTCTCGTGAGGAGCATGCGAATAATAGTTTGTCATGAAAGCAGCAAATAATATGGAAAACGTGTGCTAAAACACAATTATCCACATATTTGCATATTCAGGAAGGGTCAAGCTACAATATGCATTTGCTTATCTTCAGTAAGCTCAACTTTGACTAGCTGATTATTTTTTCATTAAAGAACATACGCCATGGAATTTATTAGCAAAAAAACACGTATATTGTAATGGCAGATTGTGTGGGAAGACAATGGCTGAAGTAGAACGGTATCAAATTGTGAACCATTACTGATCAGTGAACACATTTCATTACAGACTCAGGAAGGAACTTCATTAATTTCTTGTGTGGCTAATGAAAGGTTGTTATTCTTTGGGCGATAGCTTTGTTCTTTTATTGAGCCATCACATCTTGAAGCATTTGAGTCATTTTTTGGTTTCATAGTATTTTGTTGTTAAAGTGGTTGTAAACATGGCTGGATCAAGGGGGGTGCTGGGGTGGGCTATGCCCCCCAGATTTTAGTTGTGCCCTCCCCCCAGAGCCAACCCTAACCTGCCACTATGCTGCCCTAATTTGATAGTTTACCACCCTAGTTTGACACTATACTGATGAGACTTGTGTGGGGAGGAGAAGCTCTGCTGCCTGTGCCCAGGATGCAGTGCAGAGATGTAAGAAGGAGCTGTGCCCCTGTCCTATGCCCTGCCAGCAGTGACCCCTGTCCTCTGCCATTTTTTTACTGCACCCCTACATCAGACAGGCTAGATCTGGCCCTGGTTGTAAACCCGAGCAAGTAAAGTGACTGGCCTCAGGCGACACAAAGAGGAAACAAATCCTCTTTCATAAGTTGTAGCTGTCTATCTGCTGTCTTCTCTTCTCTACGTCCGTTAAAAGTGCTGAATTTATACAGCTTATCTGAGAGTTCAGAAAACAGGTGGTAGAGAGCTAAAAAACACACCACAGAGCTCAGTGAGGAGAGCTTTGACAGCTAATTGGAGGGAAGAGACACACCCCCTTTCACACAGTTCACAGGAACAGTGCTGAGGCTGTCAATCTGCTGGAGTTCCCTCCCCTGTCACTTTTTTTTTTCTTGGTGTCAGAAAAACTTGTCAGATGTGATTCATGCTGATAGTAGAGGAACAAAGCAGCAGACATAAAGTACATTTAGTGCTCTTAATAGAGACAAGTACACACTATAGAAGGATATCCTTTGTTCATATTTCATGTCTGAGGTTTACAACCACTTTAATGTAAGCAAAGATTTTATAACAATGTTAAAAAAATAAAACTTGGAACCGATTTAAGATGTGTCCTGATTATGTTGTGTTAATGAGTTATGTGATAAGAGAGGCTGATTGTGTTGGCTGATTGTGTTCCACTGGTAGACAGTACAAAGCAGGAGCTAGTAATGGACCAGGGGGTAGAGAGAAAAGAGGCAGAGGAGGTGATCATGAACTGGGGAGAGAGGAAGCAAATCTAGAGCTTAATATGCTCCAGGGAACGAGAAAGAAAAGAGGTGATCAAGGGATGGAGCTTAGCACTGCAGTTTATACATGTTTATGAAATGTTAATGTTGGGTATTCGTTTCCACTATAGAAGCCATGGGGCAACAGGGATAGTGCTCAGAGGCAACATATCACAGAAAATCTAGCATCATGGAGAACTCTGGAGATGCCAGAGCACAAAAGTGATGGCAAGACAGCACTCAATGAGCCTTAAGTTTAGATATAAGGCATCATTAGGAAACTATTTATGATAGCATCAAGGTATTAGACTGCATACTGTAGCCACAATGTGATGTTCCAGGTAATGATGTATGTTGAGTACAGGAAGTCTATGAAGTGTGTAGGGGTACTTACATACCTGTCAATAGACTAAGACAACCTTTTTATCTATATACACTTTTAAAGGCCCGGTGGTTATTTGTTTTTACTTATCATACTATAGTTTCACTTACTTTTTCTTTCAGAACCCAGGGCATATTTATAAAGCAGCGAATGTGACATTCAAACATTCCCTGCAGGTGAACCTATCACAGTAATTTGAAACACATGTACCAGGAAGACACATCTGCTGTGAATATTTTGTGAATGTCACATTTGCCAATGTATACATATATCCCAGCTTGTGTGTATACCAACTACAATTGTATCATGCAGATTTCAATAATTGGTTAAAGACTAAAAGTCATTAAATTATCTGAACAATTTTGCTGTATTACATAAAGCATCCTCTAAGTAAATACTAGAAAAGTAATTGTGCAGTGCTTTGTTCTATAAACAAATCATATTTTGGACTGAAACTACAAACATAATCTGGACTGTTCAATAAGACCATTACAGCCAATCAGAGTTTAATTCCCTGTAATCAGTGAAACAGGAATTCTGGTTGGATTCTATGGTTGAATGCTTGTCATATAGCCTTATTGAACAGGCCTGTATAAAAACAGTTTCAATGATAAAACCGAGTACACACCTTAAGTACACACAGTACTCTCCTCGTCTTCGGTCTTGAATATATCACTTACTGTACCCTTGATAATTTTATGGAATGTTGCCTTATGTGTGATGCTATATAGTTTGTATATAAAGTGCTGAAAATTACTTAGGTCTATAACTGAGGCAATGAAAGGAAACATGCTTTCAAGGGGAAGTGCTAAAACAAGAGGTCATGCTTTGAAACTGTTTGGGAATATAGCTCCAGGGAAATACGAGGAAGTAGTTCTTCGCGGAAAGGGTGTTGTATTCACGGAATACCATAGTAACATTTGTGATAAAAGGGGGTTCTGAGGGAGTTCAAAAGTTGTTTCTATAGTAGAACAATGGCAAAGTGAACCAAAAGACATAATGATTCATTATGCTTATGACCGACAAGCCTATATGCTTCTGAATTTAACAAGTCATTTCTGGAAGCCAATCAAGTCAATTTTATTGACTAATTTTTGACCTTTATGGTTGTTTGGGCACCAGTACCTAATCAATTATAAACGAGCAGTATGAAAATTACTTTTTTTAATTTCAATAAAGGTTTTATAGAGACGATTACAAGGCACTACAAAATAATATAAAAAGTCATTAGATTTATAATTTTCAGATGCTAAATCATCATTATTTATAAGAAGAGATAGCAGACAGCAGCAGAAGCCACTGAAACTGCAAGGTCTTAGAAAATTAGTAGTTCTTGGCAGAGCGAGAGGGGTCAGTACTATGAAGACCAGGGATGGTGTGACAGAATCTTAGTACCAGGCCCTCCTGACCCCCTGTAGTTCACCCTGCTGATCCCCTGTCCTCTGCCCTACATGCTAATGACCCCTGTACATTGCCCTACATACCATCAATCTCTGTACACTGCAATACATCCTACTGACCTCTGTACATTGCCCTTCCAAGTCCTGACCCCTTTACACTGCCCTACTTACTCCTGACCCCTGTACACTGATCTACATACTACTGACCTCTGTGCACCACCCTACCTACTACTGACCTCTTTACACTGCCCGACATACTACACTGGCCAGAACTCAAAGCAGACAGCCAGGCTACCACTGAGACCAGCCAGGCCTGAAAATAGTCAAGCAAATCAGCCTTCAGTACCAGTAGTACTGCTTTCATGATGGACTCCTGCATCAAACTTGTGGAGGTGACCAATCACTTTCCAAACATGAAAGGAATTGTGAATGAAAGTGAACACTAGTTTCTCACTTTTAAAGGTAGACTAAGTTTATATTTTAGAGTTGCATTCGGTTTTTTAAATGTTTTTCTGTTTTTTTCATGCAATCCTTACTCTTTATCGGGGGCTTGCTAGTTACATTTCCTAAAAAATAAAAAAAGTTTACTCTGGTTATCTATGATCTCTTTGATGTTTTCCAGGTAGATCTTTACCTCTCAAAGGTTGCCTACCCCTGCTCTAGGCTATAAATATGTTTGTATATAGGCAATATACATCATCATATTCATCAGTCATTCCTCATGATTCTCATCGTTAATACAAAAGAAAGAGGACTCAATCATAAACTTGTTTTGCAAGGTCTGTAAACAAACAAACTAAAGTGTGTTTCCATACTTTATTTTAACACGTTAAAGTGGAACTACACTTCATCTGAACACCAAAAACAAACTTCCCCATCCATATCTCCATGCTTTAACTTGTTGAGAAATCACTTTGAAAAACACCACTCTAGCATTTCTGACTGTAGTCATATTGAGTAAGGGCAGGTAATTTATGTAGCATTTACTTCCAGGAATCCATCTGCCCTTCGCTCAGGCATGCAGCCAGGAGGGTGTACTTAGCTGAGAAAATCCCTCCTCCCCCTTGAAGATTCCTGGGATGTATAGCATTATTTGCCTGGGCATGGAAACCAGGAAGTAACTAAAAAAATGTACAAAAAAAACTTTAAAACAAGTAAATATGACATACGTACATCCTATCTATTTACTAAGGCTAGCAGCATAAGAATTAAAAGTAGTCAAGAGAGTGAAGTTCTGCTTTAATGAGCTGGTGTGGGAGCTGTTCGAGTAAGCAGGTAGTCAGAGATTACAGTTGGGACATAGGAGAGTGGTATAAAGAAGAGTTTGGCATCCCAGCCTGCTGAGTAGCGTGTTTTGGGGTGGACAGCAGTCAGTGCATGCTCCATGCAGTTTGTGACAGGAGTTAGGTCTGTATTGCAGAGGGATGAGAAGGTCTTCTCCATATCAGACACGTCTGTAGAAAATAAAATTGAAAGATGCCATTACTGTAGTCAGGCTATAAATTATTTATTTTACTCTTATTAAAGTTATACTGTCAAAAAAATGTTTACTATTAAAGTGAAATGTTATCCAGAAAATTAAGTCCTGCTAGATCACTTCAGGTTGGCCCCTTTTGCAGGTATAGCTGTGTAAAGCATTTAAAATAATATAATAAAATAATAATATTAAAAATGCAAGAATACACTGTCTCTCCCTGCTCTGCACATGCTCAGTTGCTCTCTATTTTTGGCACTGCCAAAAATGTAGAGGCCAATCTGCTTACAGCCTAAAGATTTAATGCTGCTCATGCTCTCTGGGCTTCAGTAAAATGGCAGCCTCCAGCAAGAAGAGACAGGAGGCAATTTACAGCACACACTAATTTTGGTTGCATAATTATTAATGTGGAGTGTATGTTTCTTACTAAAGAACATTATTTTTTATCAAATTGTTATGGGTAAAGTTCTATTTTATGCTAACTCACTCAGTGGCCAGGAGATTGGCAATCACTTCAAACATAAGATTGATATAATTTGTGAGGAGATCTCTGCTGTACAGATACCTTCTCCACTAAACACTCCATGTCCACAGGTACAATCATTACTTCCCTCATTCAACCTCGCCACTATAGACAAGGTTGCAAAACTTTTTTTTCTAATATCCACCTAACCACCTGCCCCCTAGACCCTAGAACCTGTTCCCCTGCAAAAGCTATGTTCACCTTCTGGCTCTGTCCTACACTCGCTAACTCACATCTTCAATCTTTCCCTTTCTTCTGACATCTTCCCCAACTCTCTAAAACATGCACTAGTCACTCCCATACTTAAAAAGCCCTCACCACCCCCTCCTCAAAAAAAAAACTCCTCGCCTTTGGTCCCCGTGACTGTACTCATCGTTGGTTCTCATCTTACTTATCCAACTGCACCTTTAGCGTTTCTTACAATTCTACTTCCTCCTCTCCTCTTCCTTTCTTTGTCGGGGTTCTCCAAGGTTCTGTCCTTGGACCTCTCCTATTCTCAATTTACACTGCTTCCCTGGGTCAGCTGATAGCTTCCCTTGACTTCCAATACCATCTCTACGCTGACGACACCCAAATTTACCTCTCTACCCATCAGCTCGCTAGCTTTCACTAATTTACTAACAGACTTATTAGACTGGATGTAACACCACTTCCTCAAACTCAATCTGTCCAAAACTGAGGTCATAACATTTCCTCCCCCACATGCCTCTTCCCTTGATTTCTCTGTTAAGATTAATGGGACAGCTATCTGCCTGTCCATGCATGCCAAGGTTACAGGTGTAATCCTGGACTCTGAACTATCCTTTTGGCCCCATGTCCAATCATTGTCCAAATCTTGCCACTTCAACCTCCGCAACATCTCCAAAATATACCCCTTCCTAACAAAGGACACTACAAACCTTCTAGTTCACTCCCTGGTCATCTACGGCCTCGACTACTGCAACTCTCTCCTCATGGGATTACCTTTACATAGGCGATTCCCCCCCCCTTCAGTCAGTCATAAATGCTGCTTCCAGATTCATCCACCTTACCAACTGTTCAGTGTCTGCTGCTCCTCTCTGCCAATCCCTCCACTGGCTTCTGCTCACCCAAGAAATGAAATTCAACATACTAACAACTACTTACAAAACTATGCACAACTCAGCCCCCAGCTACATCACTAATCTAGTCTCAAATACCGACCCAATCGTTCTCTTCATTCCTCCTATGACCTCCTGCTCTCTAGCTCCCTCATCACCTCCTCCCATTCTCGCCTCCAGGACTTTTCCCGAGCCTCTCCTATCCTATGGAACTCATTACCCAATCTGTCCAACTATCTCCTACTCTGTTTGCTTTTAGACGATCCCTGAAAACCCTCCTCTTCAGAAAAGCCTATTCTGCCCCACCTAACAAGAAGAGTTTTATTTTCTCCATCAGCTCATCCCCCACAGTTATTTCCTTTTGTATCACTTGACCCTCCCTCCTAACAAGCAGGGCCCTTTGAATCCTCCTGTATTAAATTGTATTGTAACTGTACTGTCTGCCCTCATGTTGTAAAGCGCTGGGCAAACTGTTGGAACTATATAAATTCTGTCTAAACTGATTTTATTTATTACAGGTACTTATATGACGCTGTCAATTTATGCAGCGCTTTACAATATATATATATATATATTGTACATTCGCATCTGTCCCTAACCCTCAAGGGGTGTACAATCTAAGGTCCCTAACTCACATTCATACATACACATACTAGGGACAATTTAGAGAGGATCCAATTAACCTACCAGCATGTCTTTGGAGTGTGGGAGGAAACAGGAATACCTGGAGAAAACCCTTGCAGGCACAGGGAGAACGTGCAAACTCCAGGCAGGTGGTGCCGTGGTTGGGATTTGAACCAACGACCCTAGTACTGCCAGGCGGAAGTGCTAATCATTTAGCCACTGTGCTAATAATAATAATAAGTTTCATCAAATCATTTCATTAAATATTAAATGGAGGTGGCTGCTCATAGTGATTTGTTTTAGAAGTGAAGTCAGGTAGAATCTGCTATGAACAGCACATCTACCTTTTCATGCTCTAGTTTTGTAAAGGTTAAAAAGGTGTAGTTATACATGGATTTCAAGGAAATTATCTGATGGCACCAGAACTTTTTTTTGTTTTGATATGCTTACCCCTATACTTCCATCAGCTGCTTTTATTTGCTCCCCAATTAGCACCGTAGTAACGATCATCAAATAAACAGATAGCAGTGCTAACTAAATGTACAAAATAACCATAAAGTGTCATTTAACATATGTAAAAACTGCTTGTATATATCATGTGCAAATGTATTATGATATTTGTACGCAAAGTGCAAGCTGTTGTTATATGCCACACATGAGAAAAATCATAATCCACTGAAAACTGACAATAAATGTCCATGCAAGTGAATCACGCCAAAAAAGTATGCATGTGATCCAATAACAGTGCTCCAAAGTCTTTGATAGTGCTCCACATTAATGATGTACAACTCTAATCTACCGTTCATGCATGTTCCATGGTCCAGAGTGCCCACCAGCTGCAGTCGATCCCTTATAAAAAATAAGGTTGTCAATATGCGCCTTTTACTATGCCAAGCTCAGGTTTTCCAGTATCCCACCACTTCAATGAGGTCTTGGACTGTATTCACTTAAACCATGTCCTGTCACCACATACAGTAACAGGACATGGTTTAAAGTTATATAATTATATATTTGAGCGTATATTTTTACGTATATTATGTAGCACTATTCCTGTAGGAGCAAGAACGCGGTCTAGGTCTTCCCCAAATACTTTGCCGTACAGCCAGTCACATGGGTTCATTCACACATTTCTCCAATAACCAGTCAAGGGGGGGTTTTTTTGTTATTTTTTTGATAACTTGGATAGGGTTGAGAGAGGTGAGTGGGATACTTCAAAAATAGGAACAATATACATGTGAGGACTTTATCTAATCTTCAGCATAAGCTATGTTGGAGTCCTTGCTTGAATCAAACAGTGGATTTCAGCTTAAGGCCGTAGCAGTAGTTAGTAGTAACTTCTTTAGAGCCCCAGAGCAGTGTCCCTTTCAGAAGTAGGTCAGATGGACAAAGCTCCTCAGATCACCAGCAGGTGTTCCCTTCGCTAGACTCGCAGCTGATCTCCTAGCACCAGAGGGAGTTAAATAGCAAACGGTCTCTAAGATCCTTTAGGGATATCTGTACTCACAAGGCCCAAGAGCAGCTGGATGCCTTCCTCTGTGATACCAGACCAGATCTTCAATAGACAGGCCCTCAATCTGTGTCTCAGCATTCAGGCCGTCAGGTGGCCCACCTGAGGCCGCACATAATTAGTTTCCTGGAAGGGCAACATGCACTCTCCTGAGCTAGAACAATCCTATACAGGAAAGACCCAGAGCCCCATGTGCTTATTGAATATACACAATTACATAGCATTCCTTCATAGCCAATCTCTCTGGGATAGGCTAAGGTTCTCACAATATTTCATGCTGCCATCTGCATAACTCTACACCTATTATCCAGAAACTTTTCACATTTCCTGGATACAGAGGAAGCTATAGGCAGACTTGTAGCAGTGGAGCACACAGAGCAGACCTCACTAAATGATCACAGCTCACCAAGTACAGTGAGCTAACTATGCTTTTAGTAAACAAAAAGAAATACAGCCACTAGAGATGAGCGAATCGAACCAGGCGAACCGGAATTCGAGTCGAATTTCAGGAAATATTCGATTCGCGGCGAAACCGAAATTTTGCCTACTTCGGTGCGCGAATCGAACATTTCCCGATCAGCCGGCAAAAGTGTCCCTGCAGTGAGCTCCGCTATTTTCTGACAGTTCTCTGACAGAAGGAACACATGTTTAGCGGTTGAAACATTGTATCTATTAGTTTACATTTAGGATTACAGATGTTTTCAACCACTGTTCATGTGAAGAAGCTGTGAGAGAACTGTCAGAAATAGAGGAACTCTGCACATACACTTTTTGCCGGCTTGGAATTATTCTTCTTTTCATCCTACTTCTTCTTCTTCTTCATCTTCATCCTCAGAAGAAGAGGATGAGGATGAGGATGAAGAAGAAGAAGAAGAAGTAGGATGAAAAAGAAGAATAATTCCAAGCCGGCAAAAAGTGTATAGTGTGCAGAGTTCCTCTATTTCTGACAGTTCTCTCACAGCTTCTTCACATGTACAAGCGGTTGAATACATCTGTATCCTAAATGGAAAATAATAGATACAATTTGTATCTATTAGTTTCCATTTAGGATACAGATGTTTCAAACCGCTGGTACATGTGAAGAAGCTGTGAGAGAACTGTCAGAAATAGAGGAACTCTGCACATACACTTTTTGCCGGCTTGGAATTATTCTTCTTTTCATCCTACTTCTTCTTCTTCTTCTTCTTCTTCATTCATCCTCCTCATCCTCATCTCTTCTTCTGAGGATGAGGATGAGGATGAAGAAG